CTCATCAGATGATGCTGATGCTGCTTTGTTGAAAGTTGGTCTCAAACAAACGCAAACAATTAAATTGAAACATACAAAAACTCAATGATGACGATATTCACGCCTGAGCCTTCTTGTCGTGTCGGGGCTTGGGTTTCCTAGCCCATCCAAAAATGATAACTCGCTGTGCCGGCGTTGACGACATGGCTTCACTCGGAACTGTGCAAAAAGGCTAGTTCATCGTGGAAGAACAGTCAGTGTGTGTCATTAAAATGTCATTGAGTGCCACTTGCACTGCTTGAATGACTGAATGTCTTGAATGTCATTGCCAAACATCGTTCAGCCTCAAACATTTTGGCATGTGGTGAATGACAATGACAAAATCAAGGCACTCCAGAGTCAATGACAGCAAGTGGCCGAAGAGTCAAGCCGGCCTTTGTGAGGAGGAGGACGGGGCAGAACAGTCGTGCTCGTCAGAATCGGCCATGTTGAACACGCCTTGGCATCAAGGTGGCTCTGATGGAATCTGGCCATGGCAACTTACAGAACGCTTGTTATTATTCAGTCACTGACACTCTTTGCAAAGCGCCGCGACCGTAACTCCTGTCAAATGAAACTATATAATCACTGTATTATTATTGTCACACCCACTTAGCAAGCTTCAGCGTAACCGTTCTGCTTGTTTTGCAGTCCTGGTCCTGGAGGGTCCTGGTCTTCGCCCTGACATTGGATTTCCATGACATCAACTGACGGGAATGACAGGAATGAATATCTGGCCTGAGGAGGCTTCTCAATGAGTTTCATGGAGATGCTCAAAGTCTGGAACACCTGCATGGCCTGGCAATTGAGGTCAGAGACGAACAGAGCAGTACATGGAGGTCAGTGACAATTTCAAAAATAATAAACTAACATAATAAATTATACATGACAATTGTCCTCATCTTCGGTGATGTCTCGCTTCATCATGGACTCCACCAGCTGGATCGAGGTATCCAAGGTCACGTTGATTTTCTTCCTGGAGGTGTCGAACTAAGGAATGTGTGTGTCCAATGCGTGCGTCCAACGGGTGCGTCCTGACCAAGCTGACCACACACTTTTCGACCTTCTCGATGGCTTCGTGTAGATCCATCCGACCTGATCATCAATACTTAATGGATGCCAATGATGGCCAAGAGGGGATGTAGCTGAGGTCCAAGCACAAAATGACGGTGACTGGCACCAGGCAAGGACGGCTGCGGTGACAATGACTGACAAGGACAGCTGCGGTGACAATGACAAAGACAGCTGCGGTGACAACAATGACTGAGAAATCAAAAGCTTCCTATTCCCGTCGTGATTTATCCATGTCAAGACTTGGGTAAATCACGACGGGAAACTAACTTGCACCCAACTATTAAACTTAATGCCTGGACTTTTCAAAATAATAAACCGAGAAATGAAAATTGATTTTAAACGTCGTGAAAATTTGGAACGACTCACGTCCTCATTTCCGGACTAAGTCAGAAAAAACTGGGAGGACTCAGGTTGAGTTGAAAAGCTGGCAGGTTGAGAAGCTGGGGGAAGGCATGTCACTGATCAATCACAGGTTGAGTTGACCAGACAAGCTGGCAGGCTCAGTCTGTTGAGTAGAGTCTGTTGCTGAGTAGCTGGGGGAAACAAAATCCCCCTTAACAGCCACCCAGCCCAGGGCTTCAGTTACTCGATTGAGCACTTGCACCAATACCAGTGGATCCGGAGTTGCAAGACCCAACTCCTGAGCACGTTGAATCCAGCGCCTCCATTGGCGAATCCCTGACAAGACGTCCGCCACCCCATGACCCACCTTCAGGTCAGTGATGCTCTTCAAAAGTGCAGTTCGTTCGGCCGACCCTCCTGGTTGAAAGATGGTGTACAGCCGAAAAAGGATTCCCAAACAACTGACCTTCCTGGAGGCAATGACATCCTTTCTCACTTGGTCCGGAAGAACCCCCAGCAAAATGGTCACTCCACGATGCTCCACCCTCTCAAAGCTCGGATCCAAGGGGCGCTCCACCTTGAGTCTCAAGAGTTCGAGCGGTTTCAACTTCAGCCAAGTCTCATAGAGGGCCTCCGCTTCGATGACATTCGCTCGCCACCACCCTCTCGCCGATGCCGAGAGGTCCGACATGAGAGGCATAGCCACCGTCAGCCAATCTCCAAACGCCAATGATGCCCCATCACTCCCCGGAAGAGGAAGTGAGGGCAACTCCAAGCTCCGAAACACTTCATTCACAGCTCCACCGGTTTGCTCGGACCTGGTTGAGGGACCCTGACCTATTCCTCCTCTATGCAACCCTGGTGGACAGTCAAGACCATGTACTTGTGGACCTCCTTGATCCTGTGGTAGAGGGTGTCCATGGGCCTCCAACCCAACTCCAGAGCGCAGCGCATCGATCGGGGGTTTCCCTTGCTCCCGACCAGCGCTAGGAACCGACTCGAACGAAGACGATTCGCCGCCCCCCGTGATCTTCTTGATCTCTCTTGCAAACAGAGTCTCTGCCTCCTTGAGGACCTTTTCCCTGATCGCCTCCACTTCGAGGTGGGTGGGAGATCTTCGAACATCACCTGGAGGTACTGGATCATGTCCTGATCTGCTCCCCGCCGCGCCCAGCGGAGCCTGTGTGCTCCAGAAGGGATTGATCTCTGCCCCTCTTGCCTGTGGCGGTGTGGTCATGGAATAGGGATCGAGCACCCTCGGTTGCGGCCCAGACTCCATCCCAGGCCCATAGCTAGTCGGCCTTCCTTGTGGTGGAAGAGGATGTTGTGGGGATGCAACCATGCTTCCATGCCCTCCATGAACATCAGAAACACTACCGGCAAGGTGTCCAAGATCGTGGGGATGCAAAAGAGGAGCGAATAGACCCTGTTTTTGAGGGTTGCCACCAAATGCTCGTTGCAACACTTCCAGCGATTGTCGAACTGAGTCTAGCAGACCAGGCACTGATTCACTCAAAACCTGCCCTGCGTCTCCCTGACCTTCTGGCTCTCTGCTCGTCCTCCTCACCGAGGAACCTGCCATCGCCGGGGTCGCCTGGCCAGAAGCCGCTGCCAACCTTCGAACCGCCGCTGTAGTCGCAGGCACCGAAGCAGCCCTTCCTTCACGATCTTCTTCAAGCAGCCTCTCCAGCCGCTCCTCTGCCGCGCCCACCCGCAGCACCCCTGGTCGATCACCAGGGTCCACCAGCCGCTCAGCTTCGCGGGAGCGGCGGCGGCGAGATTGAAACGCCATGGGGACCAGCAACTTCCAAACTGGAAGGTGGACTTTCTGGCTATGCTCTTGGGCTCATAACCTAAGCATCCTCAAAAGGACAAAAGCTGTCTTTTCTTGAGCCAAAGCGCCAAGTTGGTATGTCTGTTGAAAGCTTATGGGAGGGCACGTAGCCACAGGATCATTTTGACGTGGTTTAAATTCAAATTTATAATATGGATCTTCGTCTGCGAGACTGGCTCCGGCAATCCAACCCCTAATACTCTCCATGCTGACAAACATAGGGCCCTGGCACTCATCATGACTGCATTTCTCGGAGAATATACCCAAAAGTTGAAGGAGACTTCTGACAGGGAGCATGAGAACTCTATAAGTCTATACCTCTCTGAATCTCGGTGAGACATCTTTGCGGCCGCGCCTGGAAAACCCTCTCTTTTTTCTTCTTGGGAGGCATCTGAGCGCTGGGTGTTCAAGCAAAAAAGAGAGCGAACCGTGTGGCATGTGGCACTGTTTCTATGTGCAATTCGATCCCTGAAGGAGCTGCAAAGGAACGAAATGATCAGATGCCCTGTCAACGAATACCCTCCGTGATCTTTTTTTTCCCAGATAGCGAAGCTATGGGGTTCTTACTTCAAATAACAAGGAGTTGCCCGTGCGCGCTTTCGAGACAGGTTGCTGGTGCCGGTGCTGGGTGCCGGTGCTGGTGCTGGCGCTGTGAGCTGGCTGTGCACGTGGTGGAGACAGGTTGCTGGTGCCGGTGATGGGTGCCGCCGGTGCTGGTGCTGGCGCTGTGAGCTGGCTGTGCACGTGGTGGAGACAGGTTGCTGGTGCCGGTGCTGGTGCTGGGTGCCGGGTGCCGTGCACGCAACATCATACGGTGTTGTCGCTTGAGTGTTCTTTGTCTATGAATTAGCGCTGTGGGGTATTTGCACTCTTCAGTTTCTGTTTTGGCCGACAGCTGCGTCAAGGGCTGTACTGTTTGCGCGCATACTTTTGCACGTATAATGTTCTGTGCGCAACGTCAGGCTCTCAACCGACCATTGTTTCAGCATGTTGCAGCACGCTACGCACACACACAATAGTCGTGCTGGATACTCCTTGGCCTTGGGCGAGTGAAGCCTACGGGCTTTGCCGCTTGCGCGCATACTTTAGTGCGCATAAACTTATGCGCGCAAGATCATGCGGCCTTATCGTTCTACAGATCGTTGCTTGAAGCGTGCTACAAAGGCAGCAGTGGCGCTGGATACTGCCTGGCCTTGGGCCAATGACACTTACGGGCTTTGCTGTTTGCGCGAAAATTTTTCTGCGCATAAACTTCTACGCGCAAGATCGCACTAGGGATAGCTATGGGGTTCTTACTGCAAATAAGAATGAGCTGGCTGCGCGCGCTTTCGAAGGGTGGCTGAGCGCGCGCTTAAGACGGGCGGCGGCGCTGGTCGGGCGCTGGCGCCGCCGCCGGTGTTGTGAGCTGGCACAGCGCACCGGTGTGCTGGTGTCAGCTGGTTGCGCGCGCTGTGGAGGCACCGTAAGCTGGCTGTGCAGGCTGCGTACATTCTTGTTCCAACCAGTCGCATGTCAACAAGTCGTGGGATTCTGCCTAGCTATCTGGGTCTATGCTGTTGTAATTAAAACGACCAGATCCCGTCAACAGCCCCGTCAACAGCTCGGTAGGACATGGCACCGGGTTAGCTGGGCCTGTCTGCCCACTGCACCTGACCCCATGCGTTTCCGCATGGCCAACGCGATCTGCTCCGTCTGTGGCACCCTCGCGCTCCGCGCGCGCGACCTGCTCCAGGTGAGCTTGGCCGAGGTCGAGCGCTTCGTGACGCCCGAGGAAGCGGCGGAGGCGGAGCGGTGTCGCGACGGAGAGGGAGAGGTCGGGTCGCGGAGGTCGGAGGTGAGCTGAAGCGTCGGTGGGGTGACTGGGATCAGAACCTGTCGCTTCCTTCCTTCACTGGATCTGTGGTTGATGGTCCAAGGGATCGGTTCTCTGGTCTGTGTTTCTGCCAGTGTTTCGAAAAACATCCGGCAATCCATCGGTTGGTCAGGATGACATTGGTTGGGCGCCACCTTTTTCGATGCCCGAGGTGCTCCTTCGCAACACCACCAAGTTCCAGGTGCTCGTTCGCATCACCAAGGATGGACCCAGTTATAGATCTTCTCACAGCGATGCAAGAAGCGCAAATAGGCCAGGTCCATAGCCTCAACTAGCCCAGGTCCGTGGCTGTTTGCATGACGACTCCCAGCGACATCCCGAGCCTTTGAATCGAAGAAAACCAAGGGCACCAAGAGAGCCATGCACATCCCACAGATTCTTCACTTAGAAGAACACACCATGACTGTTAGACTGTTAGAAGAACCATGACGTTGCTACGACGTTGTAACATCAAGTTAGGAAGGAATTGCGCGTTCGAATGATGAGTCATGGACGACCTACAGGAGGTCAACCTATCAGGGTGAAGTCAAACAGGGCTCTCAGCCAATATGGGTGATATTGGGTGATATATATATACCAGAGCTAAGTGGTGGTTATAATTAGGAGCTATAATTAGACACCCCTTAGGGGGCCCTGGTATATTATTTTTTTGGGTGCTTTCTTTTGTTTAAATGAACTTGGCTCACTTTCCAAAGCTCACATTCCATAGGAACTTGGCTACGTGGTCGTCCCGGGCCACTTCTGGGGACTGCAAAGCATTCCTTTGGAACTGCTGGTCTGTGGCCTGGGGTCTATCCCAATATTCCCAATAGGGCGTCCGAACCGCCGTGGAGACCTCCCCCCTGGGTTCGGGAAAGACAGCTTGACCGTTCGTTTAAACGGGCGCAAGAGCGGCAGTCTCCCTGATCACATCAATACCCTTTTTGATGTACTAGTAGCATCCTTGCTTCTGATAGTAAGGCCAGGAGCCCCGTTCGTAGCATCCTTGTTCCTAGTTTCCTTTTCGGCAGGTTCTGAATTCTGCTGGTCACAGCGGCGTGATGAACCTCCAGGAGCGGCGGACGAGGATGGAGGTTGAGCCACTGGTTGGGTTGAGGGGGCAAACCTGCACAAACCTTCGCTCCTTTCATCGGGTCGGGCATGGGTGACACAGATTTGGCAAGAGTTTGCACAAGAACAACGAGAGAATGCTCAAGAAACCCTGATGGTTCCAGTCAAACCCGCACTTCCGGACAACTCCAAGAACTCCAACGCTGCAGAACTCCAACGGAGTTAGGAACATCAGAATGATGCAAGTCATGGAGTGCCAGTGCTTCAAAAGCAGAGGTGGTTGGTTGAACAGTTTTTGAACTCTGGAAGGTAGACTAGACCTTCAACAACTCGGCAAAACTCTCACAATAGGTCTGCAGTCTGAAAGCAACGCAGCATACCGAACATCACTAGCTTTGTGATTCTCCTCTTCTCCCCTCCGTCCCTCAGGATTTCAGGGCTTTGATCAAAGAGATCGTCCCGGACCTGGCGAACAAGATGTGGAAGGAAGTGAGGTGTTGGCCTCCAACCTGCTAGGGATGGCCTCCAACCTAATAGCCTCCAACCTGCGATGAAGATGTGGGAACAAAAAACACACCCGATCTGGGTGGATTCTCCAGGATTCTCTTTTTCTGGGAGGTTCACCCAAAGAGAAGTTTCTCTGGGTGGATTCGTTGGTTTCTCTTTGTTGCTCCCGTTATTTTTCCATGGTTTTGCCAGTGTAGGATGTGGACTCACTGACCTTCTGAGTCGTTGGTTGAATGCGGACACTGCAGAAACACAAGGGACCGGACAAGACGGATCCGGACAAGCAGGATGACGTGTTGTGTGTGCTTCTTTGAGTCAGAATGAGGTGGAAAAGATGGCAGAAAGAGATATGAACCGGAGAAACATGGTGTTTCACACGGTGTTTCACCATGTTTCAAACCAAAACAATCCAAACATGTTTGAACAAGATTCATGTTTGCAATGCTTCTGGTGTGGCATGGTTGTTCCACCTCATGGGCGCGTTTGAGATCCTTTTTCTTGGTTGCCCCACACCGATCGGTGTTTGGTCGGAATTCGTATCTGTCCTCCAGGTGCTTTCGTCGTCCTTTTGCGGCACAGTACTACATATACGACACCCTGAACACCAAAAAAACCCACTGGGTGCCAACATCCTGGCCTTGATCTTCGGTTCAGAAGTCGGACGTTTGAAAACGCTCCTTCTGCCGCCCGTGGGGACCGAGGATCGGTTTCCAAACCGGTGATCGCCCGATCGCCCTACCCGTGTGTCCAACCTCGAGTGATGTCCACCCTGTTCCTGATACTCGTCTTTATGTTGCCCGGCTTTTCTCCGGGCAAAGGGCCGGGTTTGGCGCTCGCCAGTCCCTTTTCCCGAGCTCTCCGACCAGTGCCAGCATGCTGCAGTAGGCAAACCTGAAAACATGAGCATGACCCTGCAGTAAAGATGTTTTTTCCCTATTCTTGGTAAATAGAGCCATTTATTTGTAACCAGAAAACAACAAGAAAAGGCAAGCTTCTTATTTTCACAACCAGAAAACCATCCATTTTTAAGCCAAAGGGGGGCTTCTTCTCGCCCCAGGCCCACCGGCGTTATGGCACCATCGCGGCCTACGCCAGCGATTCAGAGGGCGAAGGTGCGGCCTACGATGCCGAAGAGATGGATCCTGCCAACAGAGGTTGAAGAACCCTATACCCTGGGAGTCAAAGACGATAAAATGAATGGTCTTTAGGGGACCTGAAGGGGAACTTCCTTTACTTCAGCCGGTCAAAATATAGTCTTTGGACTTCTAGGGTATAGACTATGTGTGATTATATCCCATAGGTACCCCAGGTTTTACTTGTCCCAATATGATCAGGTCACTTATGCGTCACTTATGGTCACTTCACCTCCCTTGGTGGAGCCATTGCTAAATCGAGCCATTGCCAAGAAGAAAAGCACCGGGTCCACGGTCGAACGTGTGTCAAAGAAAACGAAGGAACATCTGTCGGTGAAAGACGAACTTTCACGAGTTTTTGAGAAAGGTCTGTAACCCAACCACTATCATCAGAAAGGTCTGCAACCTAACCATCTGCAACCTGTCCATTTAGTAAAGGATGGCCTATTTGATCTCAGAGACCACTTCCTTCCGTCGCACCGAGCATGCCGTGGTTAGGCCTCCATGTCAAGGAGCCAACCCTAAATCTGACATTTTTGGGACCCACCAATGGGTTTTTCAAAGAGGTCTTAAAACGATAACCGTTAGAATGATCATATGAATGAGTATTTAGAATGCGTTTGAAGTCTTTTCGGAAACGCGAGACCATGATGCTCATGATTCCAGTCCCGACGGTTTCGCCGTCCCCGCACCGGCGGAGGCTTCTCGTCGGTGAGCCCGACCAAAGCCGCGGTCTCACCCACCACGCCGGCGGACTCGTCGGAACGCCCCCAAAAAAGGGGACGCGAGAGAGAGAGAGAGAGAGAGAGACCGGTGGATGTTTTGCTGTGTTTTGGGCCGTGCAGGTCACCTCCGGACTGGAAGAGTTACTAAACCGTTTATCCCCATGGGCTATGACTTATATAACTCTTCGAGTCCCATGGGCTATGTCTGTGAGGACGATGTTGGGCCCGATTCGTTGGTCACTGGGCCCGATGTGTGCCGAGTTCTGGGAGCACAGATCTGTTTCCTACTGGCTAGAGTAGGCTGCAAGTCTTGGACCCGACAGGAGCTGATCCAAGATGCCAGATGATCCGAACATGGAAGCTCCGGTATCGGATTTCTCTGCATTGAAAGCAGAGGTGTCATCTCCTGGGCAGATCTAATGCTCCTGAGAAGCAACATGCACCCTGATTGAACGTGGAACCATTGATGGCTAGTGTAAGTTCCTGTGAAGATTCACTGGTTGTCCAGGTCATTTGCATGGTGTAGTGCCTGTGTGTGAGAGGGGCAGGAGAATGCTCCCAGTCCTTCCAATTGGCCGAAGATATTGGGAGCTTCGGGGATGGAGGTCCGGTGCAGCAGCTGTCCAGCTTGGGATGGATGGACTAGTTGACACGATTCAGATCGATTTAATGGCTGTGGGGTGGTTCACTAGGACATTCAGGCCATGAATCAGGTGAGCAACCCACACAACCCACATGCAAGTGAGCTGCGACCACTTCCATGATGAAGCTGTTTAGATCTGTTTAGCACTTGCTCTTTCTTGTAGAAACTCCTCCAACAGGACAACGGAGGACGGCGACCCCGTTTGTGATCTCTCCTCCTTCGACGACCGTGCTTCTGCTGCACCGCTTGGGCTCCGTCCGACAGCTCGAGAGCTCGCGGCGTTCGATCGACGCCATGGGCTGCAGCGCGCTGCGCAGCGCGAAGGTGGAGGTGCGGCCAATGTCGAGACGCTGATGTATTGGACAATGACAGCGAGCTACGATGATGTCTGTATTTTAATTAAAGGAACCATTCATTCGCTTTTCCAGCCGGTTTCATGAAACGCACCAAGCTGTATGGCTGTGGATCAAAACCGGTGCAGTTTGCGGTTATGTCGATCCCCGAATGCTCGGCCCGGTCGCCGGTCGGACTGGTCTATTTCCCAAATCTTCGGGCTTGGGAGGTCTCCGCCCAATCTTAATACATACCCAATTCGTTTCACCCAAAAGAAACATGTACCCTCCGCCGTTGTTCAGGTAATTCAAAGGGTGCAATGATGGTTAGGGCATGTTAGGGCAATACTCATTTATACCCGGTCGTCTCCAGTCTTTCCAAAAGACAGACCCGTATTTTTTCCGACTACACCGAGGCGCCTGTCGCCTGCCGACCCACGCCGTGTTGGACCCGCCTGTCGTGCTGCCTCGCGGGTTCCGCGTTCCGCGCGGCGCCAGGTGGAGGAGTTTCAGGACCTGAGGCGCGTCCCGCCTCCGGCCTCCGCGCAGCAGAGCAAGACGGAGTCTTGGAGGAGGTTCCTGTTGAAGCGCCAGTTTGCCTTTAGAAAGACAGGAGCAAACACACATGGACAGTGGGACAAAGAACACACAATCGGAACGTCTATGTATAGGTGGGTGTCTGCCAACTAGGAACTGGGTGTCAGAATAGTAAGGCACCAGAAAGATACAAACACAATCAGCTCACACCCTTCCCAGCAAAAAGCTGCAAGCACAACCCTGGCTCTAGTCAGTGCGCCCTTCCATCACCTGGCATCAAAGGTTATAGGATCGGAGAAAAGCTGGAACAAATATGATATGAGCGAAGTGAAGGGAAGTCAAGCGAGTCTGACTCGAAATGAAACGCAAGAGGTGTAGCTTGGTGTGCCAAGATATCTGCTCCCCGAGATTTCTAGCAGTGCTTATAAACAAAAAGTAGCAAGGGCCTGCAGCGTTTTCTTTTTCTTTTTTTCATTTTTCTTCTTGGAGGGCTGACCACTGTGTTTCGATGGTTATATGTGATTTATAGTGATCATAGTGATCCGTGCCGGTTTCGAGCCTTTGACGTGTTTCGAGCCCTTGACGTACATTTTTGAGGATCCGAATGATCTGGCAAGTGCCTGGGAAGACTTGAAGCGAAGCTCGTCGCTGGGTCAGCAATCGCATGGGACGTGAGGTTGCGCGTGAAACGACACCACGCGTGACAGTGTGGGACAGCTCTTTTTGGATTTGACGCAGGTAGACTTCGCATCACCCAGAGCTATAGATGTTTCAGATCAACATGAGCCCACTAATTAGGTGGTCTTGACGTGTTCACCCACTATGGCTTGGTATTTTGCCAGCTGAGCTATCCCGAGCTCGAGTACAGATCGGAGCCTTGCGATCGTGAAACCCTTCTCGGCGGGTCGTTTGAAACCTCCACCCGATCTCCGGTCGTTCGGCGTGGTGCGACGAATCGTCATTCGGTGCGGTCAGAGGTATCAATCGACTGACTCAACCCAAAGGGGGCGAGTACGTCGCGGCAGTCTTTTCCCTTTCCTCTTGGAGTGGAAGTTTTTGGGGGTGGTTCTTCCTAGCCCCTTAATTCTAACAACAATTCATGAAGAAGGACCCAATATAAGGCCTCCCCTGTACTGGATGATGGACATTCATTCCGGCGTCACGGTGTTCGGAACAGCATGGCCGACCGGGGAGAGCACCCTGCGGGCTGTTCAGATCTCGTTTTGAGGAATGCTCGACCTACAAAGACTTGGGACATTCAAGCTGGTGCCTCTTAACATAATGTAGACTCTTGATTAATAAGCTCCCCCTTTGAAGAGGATTTTCAATTCATGTCTGGGGGGGTCTATGAATCAAGAGATTGGTCTCGGGTCGATCGCGAGCCGCTCTGCAGATCGATGAATGGCACGCAGCATGCTGACACCCTCCCGGATGGCGTGCCACTACCCACCGGCAAGTTTGACCACGAGCTGCATGTGAAGCGCATGAACAGGCGGGGACTGAAGAGTGGGTGAAGTCTGCACCGGGGAGCAGAATACGGAGAGACGTGGAGACCGGGCTCGCGAAAAAGACCTCAGCGACGCACGCCGCACAGAAGAAATAAACCGTGCTTCGAATCCACGTCATGTATCTCTATCTCAGAATCTTTTTTCGAAGGCCCTCAAAGAAGAGTCTCAAATCTCAGATGGACTTGATATACTTGATGAACATCCACACCACGGTGTTCTACAAGCCACCGGAACGTCTGGGTCCAGGTGAACCTGCAGGGAAAAACGTCTAAAGACTGTAACATGACCTGCTGGGTTCGGTGCGGGAAATAGACCAGTCATGACCAGTCTAACTCGGTTTCGGGTCCCCCGCATGAAATACACACCCGCTTTCTATTGCAGAAGCAAAGGACGTTCCTGAATTCTCAGCATCTGAGGATCATTTTCAAGCTGGACTCCTATCACCAGCAGAGTATAGAAAACCACCCGAAACGGGATAAACCATTCATTCCCCCAAACTTCTGCCTTTTCGCTACATGGTGGATTGGTCGGGCTCCAGGTTTTGACGATTCATTCACCAATTTTGGTGCCCAAATTTGGTTTCACTTGTTTGTCTATCGGGTGTCGGGTGTCGAGGAACTGACTCTCGTGCGATCCTCGATCGCCTCGAGGTATTTGCGAAAGCTGCAGCGAAAGCCGCAGGAACTGGTGCGCGCGGTGGAGAAGAAGCGGAGCGGAGACTGCGGCCAGGTCGACTCCTCGCGAGACGAAGACGGGGCGACTCCAGCCCAAATGGCTGGATGGAAGAAACACCATGAAAAACCCATTTGGATTGTAAATCCTCGTCATATGGAGGGTTTGGGTTTTGTCATCTAAGAGATATCGAGAGTCTACAGGTGCAGGACCCTCATAATCTTGGATTCAGCCGATGAAGGCGAATACCGAGGGTTCTCATGCCACCCTACAAGTAAAATGATTGGAGGGTGTTATTGGTCTTCCTTTGGTCTGCTTTGTTTGGATGGGTTATGGCACATAGTTAACGCTCTCAAGGAGGTGGTTTTCACTCCCAAGATGTTCCCGTTTTGGGAGTCGTTTGTAGATAGTCAGCACACTCTGGTGGTTGTGGCAAGAACGGGGAACAGATCAAGTGGATCACGGCTGCATTCATCCGTGTCATGGATCATCGCGAATATGGAGATGGTTTTGTTGGTTTTGTTCCTTGGGGCCAAACTTGGTGTTTGTCAAGGCAGATCGACGGTTGATCGAGCAATTGCGCCAAAAGACCCGGCATTGCGGCATGAACCCTGAACGACCAAGCAGAGGTGCAGGAAGAAGCAGGGCCTCATGTTTCCCAGCTTGTAGCAAGTCAAAACCGATCAACCACCCTGAGAGCATTCATTCTTCGGAATTGATCGGATTCTAGCAACAAATAACGTTCACTCTCTTCAATCAACCAGCGTTGTTTTTCCTTTGGGACTTGCAGGAAAACACCTGTCCTTGCTTTGCTCCTCTCGTACCAACGGCAGGCGGAGCGGACGACCTCGCGCCGGAAGCGGCTCTTGGGGCGCGTCTTGGACAGCCGGCGCAACCGCCCGCCAGCTGGCACCGAACGGGGCAGAGAGCTGGTGGAGAGAAGTGGAAGTGTGGCGGACTTGGATTACCCCCCAGGCATTTTTTGGATGAAAACGCATCAAGAAGAGAGGCATTTCTGGAGTGCCCCTGTCCACCCGATTGGACCTCGTGAAAAGGGTGGTTTCTTGTGGCTTTTGAAGCGATTGGAGCCCATGGTTGGTGGTGCTGGATTTTGGGATCATATTTCAGTTTGTGCCACTGCTTCAGATGCTTCATATGCTTCACATTTCGCCAGTCAGAGGCCACAGAATTCCGCAGATTAGCACTTTTTGTGGGGTCCGCTCTTGTCCGCTCCTCTGCACCCTATCATGGCCGTTTCGGAAAAGCGGGCTCGCTGGAGGTGAGGAACACGGATTTGCTTGGGGAGTTCTGAGTT